TATTTTCGGGGCGCCTGGGTGCTCAGTCAGTCAAGTGTCCCGACTTCGGCTCAGGTTATGATCTTGTGGTTCATGGGTTGGAGCCCCGCGTTGGGCTCTGTGCTGACAGCTCAGACCCTGGAGCCTGCTTCAAATTCTGTGTCTCCCTCTCTCTCTCTGCCCCTCCCCCACTCACATGCTCTGTGTCTGTCTCTCAAAAGTAAATAAAAATGTTAAAAAAAATTTTTTTAACAAAATACTTTCTAACAGGGAACAAAAGCATAGAAACAATTTCAAATTTGATTTGGATAGTTAAGGAGTAAGGCAGAAAATGCTGGGAAGTTCTTGTTTCACATGCTGCTTAACTCCTATAATTGTAACTGCTGCTTCAATAATTCACGTACTATAATGAGGATACGTAATTACAAGTTTGTTTCTCAGGTATGGCAAAACTTGGATAGTGGAAGATTGAAGTCTGTTATGTATTAACTTCGCAACCAACTATCACAGTCTACATCGGTTATAGGTTTAAACTACAAAAATACTCAACTACCGCCCTTATGTACAATCCAACAGGCAAGAGAAGAGGATGTACATTGGTTGCTAATGGCTTCGCGGAAGGAGACAGATACTTGAAAGCTTCCTATTCAATTCTTGTATCTTTGAGGGGAAGAGCTTTTGGAACAAAATGGGGAATCTCCCACACAGCCATTCTCAGTCTGTCCTCGTACTCTCTTTGGCTTTCTTTGCAAGATGACAAAATGCCAATATTTGGTTATCAGCTGCTTCTTGGAGCCAAAGACTGCCCTGGACTTATCGGCCGCTCTTGAGTTTGTCATGGAAGTTTCAAGTATCAGCGTGGCCACCTTGATGAAACCACTGGATTAGTGGGGACTGTTCTTCTCAGAGAACACAAAGGCACTCAGTGATCACTTCTCTCACATTTAGCTTGGTGCTTGTGAGGTGAAGATATAGAACCATGTTTCTGCATGGGTCAACGCTTTCAAAAAAAGCTATCTTTCACAGCCACATCCTTCCGTGTCCTCTTTTGAAATGTGACACTGACCTCAAGGGCAGGCTAAGGAGTTGGGAGGGAGGGCAGAGATTTTCATCTATTCTGCTCACTGACGTGTCCCAATGCCTGACATAAAGGAGGCACTTGACAAATAAATGTGGACTGAATGAGCAGATTAGGTGACTCTTCTTTATGGATGAAGCATGGAATATTTTAACTATAGGCTATGTCAGCGGGCTCAGGCTAATCCCACCTATACTTAGAGGAAAAAAATAATCCAATGCCCAAATGAAGTTATTTTATTCAGCACTGTCATTGCCCTAAATCATCAATAAGAAACAATTCTGGGGAAACTTGTACTGGAAAATAAATGGCCTACTAGGAATCAATCTAATATTTTTTCCCCTGTGAGCCAAAACCTCGACAAGAGGCAGCAAAGCTGTCTATTTCTACATAGCCTGTCAGTTTCTTGCCCTGCTTAGTTTCTTGCCTCAGCCTGAAGGTCCCTGGGCTTAAGACTCATCACATTTGCAAAACTACAGAGCACAGTGAAAACGAGACCCAGGTACTTAAGTGGTTCCAGAGAACTGTCTATTATACTTCCTGATTTCTGAAGTTCCAACCACAAGAAAAGTGCAGATGGTTTGAACATAGTGACACCAATTCTGTAAAGTTTCACTTCATCTCCAGTTACATCAACTGGGTCTCCCCTGGGTGAAAGGGAGAGATGGGACATTTTAATGAAGGGGAGAGAATGGCCTTTTTGGAGAATAGGGGTCTGAAGATATGGACTTGTAATAATGTATTTTTAAAAATCCTCATCAAAGTTAACCTTTCTTTGGGACATTCCGATGTCACAATTTGAAAACAGACCTATTTCCCAACGAGAGATGGCTTCAAACTTACTGACTTGAGCCATAAACTTCTTTTTTAAGGAGTGGGGAGTGGTTACAATTTTAAGGAACAATTTTTGATCCCTAAACTTTCACCATCTCCCCAGTCATGGAAGCAGCTGATATTGGGAATTCTTTGGTCCCACAGATGCTCTGAAAAAGGCAGGAGCGTTTGCAAAGGGTGGTGGTGGTGATGGTTTGGTAAATGAAAACATCAGTTTCCTTTTTATATTGCTTGTTGCCTATCACACCTCTTTATGTCTTGCCTGTTCCCCCTTTCTCCACCATCCCTCAAACATCAAGATCGAATGTATGGAATGAAGTACAGAAGAAAAAATGGGTGATGACCAGGCTTAAAAAAAAAAATGGTGTCCCTCCACTTTTCCACTAAATTTATCTTTTAATATATTTCATAGATATAATCAGGGATTTACTTAAAGCTATTCAAAATAACCACAAACAGGGGCGCCTGGGTGGCTCAGGTGGTTATGCATCATCATCTCCTGGTTCATGAGTTCAAACCCCACGTTGGGCTCGCTGCTGTCAGTACAGAGCCTGCTTTGGATCCTCTGCCCCCCACTCTTCTCTCTGCCCCTACCCCACTCACAGTCTCTCTCTTAAAAACAAACAAATACAAGAACCACAAATATAGTATCACTGAAATTCAGAGAGCTGTGATATCCTTACAGAAGAGACAGTGCTGAACTTCACCAGGTGAAGGGCCCTGGCCCAGGTTAATCTTTCCTCCAGCAACTGCTTTCTTTTCCAGATGTATAAAAAGGCTGTCTAAGAGCCTGCTTTTTGATTCTTACAGTGTGATATCATAAGGAATGTAAGTGTCCCTCTGGCCCTCCTGTCCTCTCACCTAAGCCCAGATAAACTCAGGGCCCCATGGATCATCTCAGTACCATAACTGGACATCCATACATCCACATTCACGTACAGGCAAACACCATAAACACACTTATTTTTGTGTAATACATTTATTTCTTTGTGTCACACACAAAATTCTCAATGTTTTTGGTTAGGCACTGGCAAACTTAAGCTAAAAAGATGTGAAACAATGACTACATGCAGTGGCATGCCTACAATTTCCACCACAAGTCTAACGACAGCCATGACTTTCTGGATCTTCCCAATGGTCATTACATTTAGGTAAATACACTTTATAGAAAGAAGCATCTACTTACTGTGCTTCTTCAGAAGACTCTTGTTTTATTTTTAATGTTCTCTTTGTGACAGGTATTTCATCTGAAAAGCAAGGTTTTTGAAAGAGATTATATTTTTCTAAGTAGCAGACATTTATGTACATAAGTCATTGTGTTTACTGTCTGTTCCACACTTTCCAACGCAAGACCGTAATTCTAGTGTCAAACACTGTCCAATGCCAGATTTATAAATATAACTCTTATATAATGAGATGCATACATTTATATGCAAGATCAGAAACCAGCTCTACAAGTATAAAATTCTTCAAGGTCACCAGTGGGATTTCTAGCTAGGAGCTTAAAGCTTAATTTCACTGCAAACATGATTTTTGAAGGAACAAGAATGAAAAACAATTCTCTTCTATTTAGGTTTTCTATGTAGGTTTTACACAGCAACTATTCCCCCAATATCAGAATCAATATACTCTGCATGTTATTTTATTTTTTCCCAAAGGTTTGGGTGACTTAATTCTCCATGGCAAAACCAGAGTTACAAGATGCCAAAGTAATTTAGACCTTACTACTGTTTGGAAATTAAAAGGTAGTGATCACTTGGTATCTGCCCTTTTTATTCTTCCAGTCCTTAAGTTTCTCTTTTACATGGCATTAGTTTTACAGTTTAAGAGTTTCTTCTCTCCCTGTCTTCCAATATTTGAGAGATTTAAAAAGAAATCGCATTTGAAAGAAATATTAGCATTTAATCCTTTTTCTTTTGCATTAGCATTTCTCTATCATCAGGAATTCTGTAAAACAATGCCTGTGGACTTTTATCTTAAGCCAGGGAAGCACGTTCATAGTGCCAATCCTACTTATACTTCTTTGGAGCTTGCCCGAGTAGCTCACTGGGGAGAAAACATTTACTTGTAAGGGAACACGCATCACACAACTTGCTACTGAAGCCCAGTGACTGCAGCAGAAACTGATTAGCACTTCCAAATTATAAAAATCCAAACTGGAGAGTCTGTTGCAAAAAGAAACAAAAACTAACTACGTATCCCCTCTTAATTAGGCCACCCGCGTTTAGATTTGATGGCCAGGAGTTTTATTTTCCATTGTTAATGCTAAGTCTGAATATTTCCAGCCACTGCTCAGATGGGATCCTTAATGAATTCTGAAGGAGTATGTTCACTGATAAAATTCAAATATCATCTCTTTTCAAGATAAACAGAGGCTTCTCTTCTTCTTCTTCTTCTTTTTTTTTTTTTTTTTTTTGTTCAGACTAAAGTGTGGGTGGGGACCTTTTCCAAATCACAAACAGAAAATAAAAAGTATTTGGAATAAAGCAAGGAAAAGAAAGTCATGTCTACAGCAGTTTTGAGCCAAGAGTTAACCTTCTTGGCAGCTATCTTAGAACAAGGAGGTGTAGGATATTTGAAACGGCATATAGGATTCTTCTACCTGTCACTGATTAGGAATTGTGGGTCTTTAGGACTTTTGCTGGTCCGCAAATCCAAATGATTACTAACACCAGGCACTAGCTGGCAATTGAGGGCTAAACCAACAATGTCCAGATTGCCCCAAATGGGCTGGCTGTGTGCCTTGTGCTGACAGCAGGAACTGAACTACTAAGTACAAATACACATATAAAGGGGCGTGCGTGCACACACACACACATACACACACACACACGTTAAGTATCATATGTATTGGCTTTCTTACCCAATTCCTGATCTGTTGGATAGCCATGGAGATCCTGACTGTGGTTTCCCCAGTCCTCCTGTGAATACTCCTCCATAGTGCTGCCATCTGACTCCAGCTCCTGGTACAAGCCACTACTGTTAATAAGTACAGGCTGGCAGGGCTGAGCATCCCATCCTCCCTGACCAAACACCTGTTCCAACTGTTCAAATGTGTAACTGCTCTTTCTTTTCCCAACACCATGTTCTTTCACCCGACTGTAACACCTGCGAAGGGTCTAAGACACAAAGTCTTTTGTTATTCCTTTAAAGCTGTACTTCCTCTTCCAGGTACGGACCACAGATATTAATTACTATTAGACAGACACAGACAGACAAACACAGACACATTGTTACAGGAATGCTAGATTTCAAATTCATTATTATATTAGAAAAAAAACTAATTTAGCATTTACTCAAACATGTTATAATTCAAACAATTATTTTGCAATTAATCATCCATTAAACAACAAGAAACATTACAACATTATTGCATGTACCCCATAACACATATTTTTATACCCCCACCCCCATTTAAAAAGAAGAAGTAGGAAAAAAAAAAAAAAAAAAAAAAAAAAAAAAAAAAAAAAAAAAGAAAACAAGAAATACCAGCCAGCCAATAGGATGCACACCTGCCACAGAAGAGAAAGAGCTGCTATTGTGCCCAGAATTTGGAAAAAGTGAGGGAAGGGGGGACAGAAAGAAGAATTTCCCAAGCGAAGAATATAACCTTCCCTACTCTTCAGAAGGAAATCAGGGTAAAAACAATCGCCTAAGTGAATCAGCTAGTAAAACATACTACCCTCAAAGTCCACAGTCCTTACTAAATTACTCGGTCTTTAGGGAAATCGCTAAATTTAAAAGAGGTCAAATAATTATGCTACAGAGCCCCAGTCTCAAACATCAACTATCAAGAAACAATGTGCTAATTCCTACATCGAAAGATTAGCCAGTTCTAATCTATTCTACCAACTCAAACTGCCAGGAAACAAACCCATAATCTCCTTTCCTGGGGGGGAAGTGAGGTGGAGGGATACCATTGCCCTCCTTCTTCTGCCTTATGCTACGCAGCAAATAAAAATCACTATGCAAGTCCACAGGGAAAACCTGGATCATTTTAATGTCTTGCACAAGCCATTTTCTTCGTGGTCTTCTAACGCATACTTGTTTCTGATCATTAGCCCAGTTTCCTTAATTATTGGCATCTTTTACTCTGTCTTACACGGTATTTCAAAAGATAAACCAAGGACTTAGTCCCAGCATCCAAATTTAGTTTACTGACATCCAGTCTCTATCCCATCTCTGCTCTTTCTGCTCCTTCTAATCTCCCTTCTACTTTACTGAATTTCACTCAGAATTTTCTTGAAAGACAAGACCCCTTTTCCCTGGTGGCTCTCATATACCTTCTGACTCAACTGTGCAAAACCGGTTCACTTCAGACTTAATTTATATGCGTTAGTCAGACTGTACGTTTCTCCTAAATGTGAGATTACTTTCCATAGCAATATATCACATATTTCCCACCAAACTAAAACAACTCTTCATAATCTTTACAGAGCCTCCACGAAAGTTCAGTATCTTTAAATCACAGGTGACAAATGACAAGACACTCTGTCAAATACTTTGCAGATCTGTCCCTTGAGGCCAGGAATCCAGATGGGCAAAAGCAGTAATAAAAGCATGGCACATAGGATGATCTTCCTCAGACATACACAGAGTGGTGATTAGTCACCCTGTCCCAAAACCGGCCAGTCTACCCCCTGCATAAGCATCTGCCTTTCTCCCTTTCTTGAGATCTCTGGTGCCTCAAATGATGCCTTAAAGAGCCAAGGTTTCTGATTAAAAGTGTTCCCTCTTTCTCTTTGTAAAAGATTGTCACAACTACATAACACAAAACTTTCTAGAAAAAAGTCAGAAATGAACTTGGGGAATGCGTCCCAGGGTAACTTTTCCAATGGAAGGAGACAAATGCCAGCAGCAGCAGATCTCATTTAATTTTCTATATACTCCCCTTTCCCAGTGCCCTCTGCCCTCCTTGCAGGGATTGGAATTTGAATTGCAAACATCTCCTGCCAACTTATTTTTATCTCACAATGTCTAGTTTCTGCCTCCAAGAACACCCCAACTGCTCTTTTCGACTCCTCCAAGGACCGTACATGGAGAGTCCCGGCCGTGTCCCTTTCACCCTGCCAAGGCCATAAATGGAGATGTCACTGCTCACTTTCTGGCTGCCTCGAGAAGTGCACGCAGCACACAAGAGTCCAGTCGCCTCTGTCACTGGGGGTCATTTCAGAAGTCAAGGAATAAACTCACGTTCCTTTGAAGGAATGTCGTGACACGGGCATCTTGAGCAAAGCCACCAATCTTTTGACAATGTACGTGGTGGGAAACGACAGGTTTCTTTGAAACCACCAAATCGAGCTTAAAATTTCACTTGGCTTATGTAATTGTGAATAGCAGTATCTAGTGGTTTTAGATACAGAAGAACAGTCAGATGATGTGTTTTATATTTCATCAAAAAAGGCTATGAGATCTTGCCACCTCTTTCCTTGTAGTGTACTTTTGTGATACACTTTAATTGTGTCATGTGTTGATATGAAAAATATCTCTTAGGGGTCTGGAGGAAAAATGCTTGGTAATTCCTAAATCCATACGATAGGAATTTGATATACTGGAATAATGTTAAAAAGACTTGTAAATTGATTTTAACACTCTCAAGACATAAAATACACATAAGAGGTACCTTCTGGGTTCAGCAAAGGATCCATGGATCCAAGGAGAGGCTGTTTGAATAGGACACATCAACTAAGATAGAAAACGAAAGGGAGAACTCAAACCTGAGCAAGACCACCACTGTGGGAGACACTGAACTCAGTGAAGCTGCAGGGACTTTAGAAACAGATAAAAAGAACCTATGGAGGCCTTCCAATCAAGAAAGGTCACACTTCCTACACCCCGAACGATGAACCAAAGCACGCAATTAAAAGACTGCGTGTCTGTGTCAACAGTCCTAAATAAGCCAACTTAAAAATCTACTCTAGATCTGAGGTTACGATAATGCTCCAAACTCTAGGAAAAGCAAAGCCTCACCTCCCACTTCAGACAGCCACACCAAACCCAACAAGAACCTCAGGTTTAGCTTTCTTGGAGGGCCGTTTCCTACCCAACACAAATACTTTACTCCCCTTCTTTCTTTACCTCACTCATCTTAGAAATGTATGGTAATTTAACCTCTAGCATTTTCTTTTAAAAGTTAAGATTTGGGGGGAAGTTGGGGGGGAGGGAAGAATTTGCTCAAAATTATGAAAAGACCAGCCTATTCACAATTAGGAAGAATAACACTTTCCTTATTGCTAGAAGTTTCCATGGTAAATCAATATTACAGTCTCCTCCCTGGGGAAGAGCAGTGAGGTAATACTGTATTCTTGAAGGAAGTCAGAGGGATAGAGGTCAGGAGGAGTCAAGAGAATCTAGAAAGAACTAAAGGGTAGGTAACAACTTGATCAGGTGGTCAAATCAGAAGAGTTCGTAGGTCTTTGATTTGGAAGAAATTCCAAGTGTTCAATCACCTCAACAGGAAAAGAACCAGAGACAAGGCTTAAAAGATGTCCCATTACCAAAGCAGGGAGGAAAACAAGATGGCTGACAACTGATAATTTATAGACAGAGGGAAAGTTCTGCCAAAGTTTAAGATTGGAGGGAAAGGAAATGAGAGAATAAAGATGACATTCATTGCGGATGAATGTGGGGGGGAGGTCTGCGGGGGAGGGGGCAGGTAAACAAAGGTAGGAGTTTTAGATTGGCAGGATTGGGGGTTTAACGGCAGCAATGCAGAGAAAGACCCAGGGTTACAGTACATGTAACATTAAATACAGTGCACAATGCAGCTATCTTGCCAAAGTAAGTAAATCCAGTATTGGGTTGTATAAGCAGAGGAATCACATGTAAGCTATGAAGGTGGCTCTTCCTCTCTATTCAGCACCGGTGAGGCCACAGCTGGAGCACAGCATTCAGTTCTGGGCATCGAACCAGCTACAAGAGAGGGAAATTGTAGAGTTCAGAAAAGGGCAAATAAAATAATGAAAGGCTTGGAAAATAAGATCTATAAGTAGGGCCAGTGGTTTCGTCAAAGCCCTTCCTGACATTATATAAGCTACTTTGGGGGTAAAAATAAGGTTTCTTTCGCTTCAGTGTCCTTCAATCCCTCCTTTGACTTTCAGGAAGTGGGAGGAATTGAATTTTTCCCTGGTATGGCAAAGCAGGAAGCCAACTAAATAAATCATATGGGCATATGCCAACCAATTCTGCTACTGGCTCGTTTTCTCAAAATTTGCCCCATTTCATCCAATCGAAACATAATCACCGTGACAAAACCACTGTTCTAACAGAACTGACTACAGGTGGAACAGGGTCTATAATAAGGAGGAATGGAAATGTGTAGCATAATAGCTACATAAATGTGTTGTCCAGAAAACACTGGCATGATCAGCCTAAGATGTCAGATGAAAAAGTCAAACCGCAGGGCAGGATAGCTTAGTTATAACAGCAGGAAACAATGTTATAAGAAAAAACAAGCCGTGAAACAGATTTTCAAATGTAGTTGTCAAACTGGCCACACTAGAAATGGATTACATAGATGATCTTAACCCTCTGCAAACTAAATACGATAAATTTTAGCTTTTTTTTTTTAACCCAAATGATTCCATAAAGAATATACTTATTTGCAGTCAGAGTCTTAAGAATCACATATCATATTTCACAAGAGATAGAGGAAATTACACTGGGGGCAAATCTCCAATGACTAGCTGTTTATAAAAGAATTAAAAACAATACCTCAGCCTTAGCAGATGTGGATTTTTAAAGCAAAAGTCTTTGTGAAATACATTAATCTTCTTCCTTTAAAGTTACCGCTTTATTGTAACTGTTACAACTAGTTGCTCTTAATGAGGCAACAACAACAAAAAACCCATTGAATTTATTTCAATATCTTTTGGAGAGACTCAATATGTCTTTAATTAGTTTTAGTTTCTTACTGTGAGCACAAAAGGTAGAAAATAAAATAAAATAAAACTCCAAGTAGGAGAATAAATAAATAAACACATTTCTGCACACAGTAAGAGGGGTATTATGAATACAGCATAAATTCCTACATAACGATGTAAATTACACCGAGCTAGAACTAATGATTAGGAAGTCACGTAAGGCAAAATCTATCTGGGGCCAGCAGAAGTTTTACTAC